AGGAAAAATTTCATCAGAGGTGAATATTTTTAGAAAAGACATAGGGATGCAATGTAAAATCATTGCGGAAGTGACTGAAGTCGAGATATCTGTTCAGGGCCGATTAGATTACACTTCCTTTGGATTTTGTAAAGAAACTCAAGAGAGTACCAGACCAGTATTTAATGCACGACTGTACGCTAGATTTGTAAATGTGCAAGATAGATTCTGACAAGATACAGTGACACAACACTTCCTTTATAGTGTTCCCCTTTTGTTCATCTCGGGGTTCTCGACAAAATCCAAAGAAGGATCTGCAATATAATAGATCCTGATCTGTCATCTCTACTCCAGTCACTTTCTCACAAACATGAGGTTGCTTCTCTGTGTCTTTTTCTCGAAATAATTTCATGGTCATTGCTCTGACGAGCTTTTGTTCCTGGGGCCCAGAATACATGAATTTAAACGTGCTACGAGATTGGCGTCTAGGTTCCACCCATTTACTATTGAAATAGTTAAATGTAACCATTACTTCTACTCTAACAGAATCTTTTCTTGCACTTCCCGACTGCGGAATTCCCTTCCTCTTACTTGATTCTCTTATTACTGCGATCTTTAAAAACTTATAATGCAGCGTCAACTGTCATTTTCTGTTGACCTGAATGTCATCCACCTTTTGCCTTTTACTCAACGCTCCCTCCCCCAATACACAGTCTTTTCTCTCACTTTCACTTTCACTTTCACTTTCACTCTCCGTAAACCTCTGCGAGCTAATCGTAGCCCCATCTTACTTGTGGTGAAATTCTTAAAAATAAGAAATAAACGATATAAAATGTCGATATAATTGACTCGATATAGTCTCTCCGTTTCATGTTAGGTGAAACGATCAGGCCAATTAGGCGTAGTCTGTTGCTCTCCTGTGTTTTGTGTTCTGTGATGTAATTGTATTGATATTTTATAAGCTATATATGCTGTTTTACTTCGTCAACACCGAGCGGTCCCTCAATTTTCTCCTATCGTGATCAACATGTGCTCTCCCTGGATGGCCCCGTGCCTTCTTTGGGATTTAAACTCGACCTAGACACCGCTGAAGATCGTAGATAAATAGTTGATTCCATGTGCCACTCCAGTAAGTACAAGATGCACTTCATGAGAACGTGAAATTAGCTAATTTCCTAGAGGTTAGCATCAGTCATGCTGGTGGGAGGCGAAACAGGTTCACTTAGGCGATTAAATTTAATTATTTTCGTTTTGGATGCGTTTAACTATACAAGTCATTACTGTCCGATGTTATATATATTTCGCTTGATGATGGAACAGAGCTTACTTTAACTCAATTTAATTCAAATAATTATATTGAATTTTTAGGCTCTTGTTTTGAAACATGAGACCTCTTATGTCGCGAGTTGGAATCATATTTTTAAATAAATAATTATATTTATGCTCTACTTTTGTATCGATCACTATTTTTTAAAAATAATAACTAAAATACTAAGGAACTTTGGATTATTTACCTAACCAGTTCCTTCCTATTTTCTATATATTTTCACACACACACACACACACACACACACACACACACACACACACACATATATATATATATATATATATATATATATATATATATACATATAAGGGATTCCAGGCAAATCCATTACATTCACTTGCGTGCTAATACACTTGGGAAAGGTATGAATCCTCTTCTTCTCCCCCTCCTCATATCTATGGGGAGACCGGGTTCTGTAGCCTTGGATGGTAAATAGTCTAACGCAGAAAGAAATGGCGACCTACTGCGGGAAAAATCTGTCTCGTCATTCATGTATCTTCCGATACATGATTGCCTAAGCGTGTATCACCCATGGAATATAACTGTATATATATATATATATATATATATATATATATATATATATATATAGAGAGAGAGAGAGAGAGAGAGAGAGAGAGAGATAGAATTGCATTCACTGACGTGTTAATACCTTTGGGAAAGGAATGAATCCTCTTCTTCGCTCCCCAAGCTAAGGATAAATAGCAGGACAGTCCGGGTTCTGTAGCCTTGGATGGTAACTGGTCTAGCGCAGAAAGAAATGTCATTCTACTGCAGGAAAACCTGCCTCGTCAGTCATGCATCGAAAGATACATGATCGCCTAAGCCTGCATCATGCATGACACATAACTGACTGATGATTATCCACACACATTTTTATAACCTGAAAATAAAATATTTTTATTAAAATAAGTAAACAAATCAGCAATTACCATTGACAAATAACTCGCCTACAAAAGCGCCTGATAATTATGCACCAACCCAATAGAAGCTTGACCGTTAAAGATAGCTTTTATTTCTTGATTTGAAACGAGAGATGGAATAAGATAAAATGTTCGTCTTGAAATCCCATATCGAGCATGCCAAATTGTGTCGAATACCTCCAAATCAAGAATCCAAGCTTCTGCATTCTTATCTAATGCTTGGCCGTTATTTTCAGCAATGCCCGTTAAGCCAGCAGCAATTGAACTAGAGGCGTTATATTCTTTATCTGAAAGAAGACCCAACGATAAGAGATGGATGACCAAATATAAGATGATTCGAGCCTCTAACACTTTGCCGAAAAGAAATTGATTTGATTTGATTTATTTAACGGCATGTCAATAACTTACGTGTCATTTAATGCTAAAATTTAATTTTCTTGGGAACTTTTGAAGTAATAAATATGACATACCGTATATACTGACGTACAAGGCGACTGGACCTATATGACGCCCCCCCTCCCTCCAAAAACAATTCAATTTAAAATATAGGTTTCGGGCTAGCTTCACCGTACAAGACAAAAAAATATCTTGAAATAATAAAGAGTAAATTTACTCAGAAACATCACCATTTTTATAATAATGAAATATAACAAGTGACGACTGCCATGTTTCGTGAACATGTAATGAGGAAAGACGGCTTGGAAAAATTGACACTCACAGGAGATGCTGAATACAAGAAGGCCAGAGCGAAACAGCAAGTCGAGTCGATAACAAGTTTGTGTAAATTGATTACTGAATAGGTAGTAACGGGGATTGGAAAAGAACAAAAATTACTAAAAGTTACAAATGAGAGGAAGATGTGGAGTGTCATGATCCCAAGATGAAATGTTCAAAACTGACCTAATCCTTTTTAATACCTCGTGACATGAAAGGTTTCTTTCTATGATTAGCCCTACCTTTATTACCAATAATAAAAACAACATTACATTCTTACACTCGACCTTGTGTCACACGCAACCCTCGTGGGGGGGTGGCTAGATACCCATTACTTCTTACACTGGCCCAAAATTCACCATACACTATCTTAAGAAAAGGAAAAACATTACTAAGTGTTGAAAAATGATAGGAACTTGTTGAGATCAAAAAGTATATATATATATAATTGGTTCCTTCTGAAGTATTTTTCAGTTTTGCATCTTCGTGGCATTATCGCCTAGCTTGGAGGGAATTAATTAAAAAAAAAAAACTGATAATAAATGTTCCTATCTCTGTTGCAAGGCCCGGCGGGGTCACTTGAGGTAGAGACTCTAGTTAGGATGCCATTTGTGTATATAAGATTGAAAGATACCGGTAGACCCATGCCTTGAACAATTTAAGATTATAGTAATCGGGGAACTACATTGGCTAAAAATGCACCACACACTCTCGTAGGTTGACTTGTCACTTGTCGAAACAAATTCGGGCACAAACAACGAAGATACGAAAAGATAATATTGGTAGAACGGAAAGAAAGAAAGAAAGAAAGAAAGAAAGAAAGAAAGAAAGAAAGAAAGAAAAAAAAAAGAAGAAAGAAAGAAAGAAAAAAAGAAGAAAGAAAGAAAGAAAGAAAGAAAGAAAGAAAAAAAGAAGAAAGAAAGAAAGAAAGAAAGAAAGAAAGAAAGAAAGAAAGAAAGAAAGAAAGAAAGAAAATAAATAAATGAGACCAACAATGCGAGCAACAAAGAAGAAGCAACAATGAGTCGGGAAATAAGAAAGAAAGAAAGAAAGAAAGAAAAGAAAAGAAAAGAAAAGAAAGAAAGAAAGAGAGAAATAAAGAAAAAAGAAAGAAAGAAGCTATAAAAGAAATGGTAGAGAGAAAAAAGAAAGCGAAAGAGTGAATAAAGAAAAAAGCGAGAAAAATTTATTAAAAGAAATATGAAAAAATCAAGGAAAAATAAATGAAAAAATCAAGGAAAAATAAACAATATGATGAAATGAATGAAGGAAAGAAAAAAAGATGAAAATATATAACGTAAGGAAAAAAAAACAAGGACAATAACGAAGGAGAAAGAAAGAAAGAAAAAAGAAGGAAAGGAAGTGAGATAGAAATGAGATTAAAAAAGAAGACGAAGAAGGGAGAATGATTGGATAAATTAAGATGCAAGAGAATTTAAGGAAGAGACAATAATGAAAGAAAATCAAAATGAAAGAAAGAAAGAAAAGAAAAGAAAAGAAAAGAATTAATATTTTGACTTTCTCTGGTTCAGGTCACACAGAAGAATTTGACCTGCGACCGACCTTTTGTCTGCTGCAAAGATGAACGAGAATGTCAGGCTGGAAAAGTTGTTAATGAGTGACGGGCGCCACAAGGCAATGCTCGTTTAGCAGAAGAGCATACACACGTGACACACGTGTGCAACAGGATCAAGATGGCGCCCAATCATGGAGCCCATGACGTGGCAGATGAAACTGGAAGGCTTAGTGAAAAATGATCAAGATCGATATGCAGAAAGAACGCGACGGGAAAAATAAATATTAATAAAAGATGTAACTGGACGAAAAGAGTTGAAAAGAAAATTTTATTTTATTACATTTACACTGGTTTATTTTACGATTTAGTAAATTGGCGATAACAAAATCGAACAAGTACAATTTAGACAGCGAAATAATATCGCTGTCAAATTTATTTAACAAGAAAACGTTACTTAATTCCGAATTTATTTTGTTGTTATGTGAATAGAAGTTTCTAAGATAATTTCCACGGGTGTATCTCTATTTTAAAAGGCAGGATGTGTGTGTGTGTGCGTGCGCGCGCGCGCGTGTGTGTGTGTGTGTGTAACGAATGCACGGCAGCAATTTTCGACGGATTTGCACCAATATTTGCATGCACATGCTCCAAGTTAGCGGCAAGGCCAAGACCGGCTTTGCATTTCCCAATTCCCATCCATAGTGGAAATAATCGATTTTTCATGCTTCTACGGCAGTTTTCATGTAGTTTGTGACCATTTTCTACTGGCCAGAGTGAGAGCCAATAGCTGGCTGCCACGAATAGGCAGGAAGATTCTATTGGCCAGCGTGTGAGCCAACAGCTGACTGACACGAATTTTAACTAGCATGCAAAAAAATCGATAGCTGCATTTGTCATAAGTGGGAAAAATTTAAATCTGCTTGGTACTTTACTCTAATTGGCTCATTCGCTTGCTTAAACTCAACGTTGATTCTGATTCCGTAGAACTGGGTTGGGTTTGAAAAAGTATTTGTTGTTAACATTCTTTTTTCATTCTGTTTTTCCAGTTACGAGTCCTTTTTTAAAGCTGATTGTTTTGTGTTCATTTTGTTTAGTTCTTTTTTCGTAACAGATTTAATGTTTAGTATAGAGCTTAGAAAAATTCGTAGTGTGAAATAGGCAAGAAGTAAGGCATGTAGCAACATCAGCACGGAAAAGGGCACTCCTTTAAAGGCAAGGAAGGGCAAAAATATTTTAAGTCAAGTGATAGCGATTGATGTATGAGTCGTAGGATTTTTGAATCAAGCACGGGCAACGCCGGGTATGCTGCTAGCTTTCGATAAAGAATATTTGATCATTCTCGAGTGGAAAAATGCGTACGGAAAATAAAAAAAATAAATTCAGTAGCTACACAAAATGGATAAGGGTTTAAGATCTTCTTTTTTATGTGAGTGCTTCCCCAAGATGTAGCCGTAGGAGTGTTTTCCCAGGACGTAGGCATAGGAGTGTTTCCCCAGGACGTAGACGATCATACCTCTCCACAATTTCTCGTTCTTTGTCTTTCTGTTATTTCTACGCAACACTTCATCTATTTACTCAAGCTCACTAAGTAGGTTATGTCTTGTTTTTCTCTGTCTCTTTTGCCCTCAATCTGTCCTGTGAGTGTTAAATTTTCCAAGCCTTCTTTCCTCATTATATGCCCTAGAAATGTCAAGTGTCTCTTTCTGATGTAAACTTTAAGTGTTCTTTTTGTTTCCATTTTATCTAAAACTTCGTCGTTGCCCGCATGATCGGTCCATGGTATGCTCAGCATCCTTCTGTAGAACTACATATCTGTTGCTTCAAGATTCTTCATCATTATCTTTGAGGATATTGTCCAGCACTCACTGCCTTAGAGGAAAACGGATATCACGTAACAGTTTCCCTTGTTTCTAGCGAAGTTTTTCTATTATTTAATACTCTGCTTATCTTTTGGAAGCTTCTTTGACTATCCTCATATAGCTTCGGATTTCAGTGTCACACTTTTCGTACTCTGTTTTCCTTCACCGTAATTATTCAATCTTATTGGTGACGACAAGATATGCCAATAAGATATACAGATGACACAGTGTTACTAGCAGACACGGAAATTATACTACAAGAATTCTTACAGAAGGTAATGAAAAGAAAGCGAGAAGAAAGGACTAATTATCAATTTATAGAAGATAGAATGAATCAGTGTCAAATCTGAAATCCTAATGCGTATTGGGTTAGTCAAAGATGCCTTCCAAAAGCTAAGCCAAGTATTAAGAAAAAGGTAAATTTAATTAGAAACAAAGAAAACACTACGGAACCCTTCTGTAATATCAAATCCTCATGCATAACTGTGAATGCTGGGGACTTGAAGGAATAGAAATGTGTTTCAACAGAAGGCTGCTGAGGACACCATGGACCCAACATGTAAGCAAAGAGGAAACTTATACTTAAAATCAGGAAGAGTTACTTGGAATTTCTGAGGCAAGACATGGGAAAAGAGGCTTGGAAAATCTGATACTCAAAGGATAGTTTGAGGTCAAGAGGGACAGAGGAAAACAGCATGTAACATACTTGAATAAATGTATGGCGTAAAAGGGTTTAGGAGAAAAAACAAAAAGACAGATATTTATTAAGAGCCACATTGAACAGGAAGTTACAGGAAAGGAGGGGACATGAAGCAGAAGACTCAAAATGATCAAGAAAGAGATTGGCTATGAAATAAAACAACATCGTTTCTAAACCAATAGAGCGTTGCCTTAAGTCTGCAATGCCCTGACTCGGCATGGGATTTGGCGGCAGATTTCCCGGACCACTTAAAAAAGGTTCAAGATATACACGATAAATTAATGACCCAAACTGAACGCAAGCTAATTAGTTCCGACATGGATACAGACAGCTTGACCAGCGAAGAGACATACAATTGAGGACTCAGAATTTAGAACGCTAATATATACATTTTTACTCCGATATAATCAAACCTGTTAATCCCGATGGGTGCATCTACTTCCGTGCAACACTCTTGATACGTGAATATATATATATATATATATATATATATGTGTGTGTGTGTGTGTGTGTGTGTGTGTGTGTGTGTGTGTGTGTGTGTGTGTGTGAAAATATATAGAAGATAGGAAAGAACTAGTTAGGTAAATAATCCAAAGTTCTTTAGTATTTTTGTTATCATTTAAAAATTAAACAGTGCTCGATACAAAAGTAGAGCCTAAATATACTTATTTATTTAAAAATATGATTCCAACGCTACATAAGAGTTCTCATGTTTCAAAACAAGTGCAGAAAATTTCAATATAATTATTTGAATTAAATTGAATTAAAGTATCAAGCTCTGTTCCATCTTCAAATAAAATTTTTTTTGGAATAACTAATTTTATGAAATTTAAGCGTTTTATAAGCATATTCATTATTAAAATTAAAATTACTATGGTAACGGCTAGAGCATTTGTTTAAAGAAAAGGGGCGTAAGGATTAATAATTTGTATCAATATCTCAGTTACATTCACAGATGTCAAGTCAGGGTAAGGTTGGGGTGTCTAAATTTAAAGCGGAAGATGACATCGTCTAGTCTGGTTAAGTGTCTATGGAGATTTATTTATTTTTTTTATTTTATTTTTATTTTCTCTGAAAGGGTTTTGTGTATATAAAAAAACTGTCATAATTCGCTAACATTTGTTTTTTGACGACTTCATAAAGGTTTTTTGTGAGGGCATTTAAACTTTTTATTTAGACAATAGAGTTTAAAATTTTTATTTATTATTTTATGCTAATGCATAAAATAATAAAAAAAAATTCAATGCGAAAATTTGATGATGTCGGCAAAACACCGTCAACTCATGTCTATTGTTTAATAAATTTTCATTATTTAAAAACTTGATAATGTGATATATATATATATATATATATATATATATATATATATATATATATAGTGTTAAGGTGTGCTATATTTATGGGATAAAGTGCTCAATATCAGAGATAGAGGCAGGTGTAAATATAAAAGTGAACATAGGTCAACACTTAGAGGCGACCTGGCCTGACGATTGCATATAGCATGAAACAGTCTGTCGCCTCTAAGTGTTGACTCCTATGTTCACTTTTATATATATATATATATATATATATATATATATATATATATACCATAGATTAACCTCTTTTTCTCTGTTTGTTTATCCAATCTTCTAGTTAAATATGTTCAAAAAGTAAAAGACAATGATAAAAGTATTGTTAGTAACGCTATACTCGTTACGTAAACGCGTACAGCCATAAACAACCAAACAAGGAACAGCGAAATATCTTATAAACATAAGCAATGGAAAAGATACATGTTCGCCATGTTTGTATTTTATAAAACGGTACTAATATATGAATATTACAAGTATTTTTATTGGATACAGTTAAGTAAAACATCACTTTTATCAAAACCATGTTTATTTTAAATACAGCTGTACTTTTGACTCCAGTAAATAGATAAATAGTTTGGTCAATGGCGTAGCCAGGGCCAGCAGCACATTTGCTAATTTTATATCTCGTGTATGATGTGACCCCCTAAAAATTAACTTCAAAATAAGGTCTTTAAAAGTCGTAGGATACACGAGTATATACGGTACTGAGAAGGTTACTTCGTTAGAGGGCCGGATCAACAACCAACCAAAAAATGTCTAGCTTATAGAAATGGATATCATACACAGTGGCCAAGAAATGGGAGATGAGTTTAATACTGAAGAACAATACAAAACTGATCCCTCACTTTCTGTCATCCTCTGAATTTACATTGAGCTCTCTAGATATCACCCTCCTTGGGTCTTAATGGATGTCAGTTATCAGTTATCTCCTGTTAATTCCTCTCTGAAAGTTCTCCACTGCTTTAACCGGGTATTGAACTCACACTCTTTGGGTCCTGTCACTGGATCTAACCAACGCCTTTATCCACTTGCCATGTGTCCTCAAGTTGTCCTCATGTGGTTTCAAGTTGTCCTTCAACCGTTAAGGCAGTGGAGAACTTTCAGAGGGAAAATTAACAGGAGATAACTGATATCCATCAAACCTGGCACGTGGAACTAGAAAAGTCTACCCCAGTGAGCGAAATAAAGAGTTCAGTTCGACATTCCAACCATCTGAAGAAGGCCGGAGCGTACAACGGCCGAAACATTGTGATAAATATGGCGACAAAGATGAGGACAATAGTCCGAATAATGTAAATAATGTACGAAAGCTGTTGTATAGAGATTTCAACCTGTTTTTGTCATAATACCTTATAATAAAAAATATTATTTTACTTTCTATTGAGTTTTATTTTAAAAGTAAATGCTACGAACAGCGTTATTTTACTTCATCTGTTCTTTGTCTTTATATATATATATATATATATATATATATATATATATATATATATATATATATTACTTTATATATACATATACAGAGAGAGAGAGAGAGAGAGAGACTTGTACCCACAAAAATAAAACAGACTTGAACAAAATAAACGTCATTTTTTTTATAATTTTAGGATACTTTCAACCAACGCTTTTTCAAAAGGTATTCATTGGCGATATACAAACAGAATGAAGTAACATTAATATTCTCCAAGAAATCAGAGTGGTTTTCGACAGTGAAGAATTCTTAAAAGCATTGTTTTATAGCCGAATGCTGTGTAGACGCAGGTTGTTTTGACTTTTGGTGTGTAGAAGACAATTCCAAAATTGCATGATGGTCACTTGCTTGTTGTTCTTGCAAGGGGGTGCAGGCAAAGTTTGACCCTCAATCAACCGGAATAAACATATAAAATGTTCCTTTTGTTTGCATGGGCTCGGCTGGTAGAATTTGATATACTTGCTTGAATGAAAATATGCTGACTATACATATATATATATATATATATATATATATATATATATATATATATATATATATATATATATCGGGTCCCGCAAGCCTTCTTTGTGTAAACAATGTGAAAGTTCGTTGGGGCTCGCTGCCATTTATCTCTAGTTCCTTGATTTCATATTTTCTTTTTTTTTTCTCACCTACTCATTTCCTTTTCATTGTACATTTTCTGTGTTTTTAATTTAAATTAAATCTCGCATGGAAGCCTGAAGAGGGAGCGAAACCAGTTGCTTCGCCTCTTTTTAATATGTCTTGTAATATCAAGCTTCACGCTTTTATTTCTGTGATTAAATCTTTTACCTACAAAAATATCTTTTATATATATATATATATATATTTGGTTGGATTGATGTGAGTTTGTGACCCTGGGTTTCACGCTATTGCAATTGTTGTCTGACGATCGCTAAAGCATGAAACCCAGGCTCACAAACTCACATCAATCCAACCAAATATGTTAGCTCTATCTCTGATATTGAGCGCTTTCTAATAAGTACCGCGCATATAATATATAAATAATTATATATATATATGCTTAGTGATCAACTATGTAAACAATGACAGGCTATCATCACTGTCGTGTCCGTATATTGTTTAATATGTTTGTGATTTACATCTTTGATAATGGCTTAAGTAAGCCGAAAGCTTAGATTATATTAAAAAAATATGGATCAATATTGTGAATGTCTTTCTTCGTTTAATGATAATGTTATCAAACTTAACAGATGTTACGAACAAATTTTACATAAAATAAATAGACAACACTTGTCTATATTTTTTTGAAAATGAATATATATATATATATATATATATATATATATATATACACTTTTATATATATATATATATATATATATATATATATATATATATATATATGCTTCCCCAATATATTGTACACAAAAAGCTTTGGCAATTTATTTCATATATGCTTCATCTAAATAGTCACAGCCACTTACAAACTGTTATGGATATGATCACAACTAAAAATATATAAAATATATATATATATATATATATATATATATATATATATATATATATATATATATATATATCGCGATAACATTTGGTGCATACTTGTTTTCTGTAATTGTCAATGATGGTCTGTCTAAGTGTAATGTAAATATAACTCCCCAACTTTCAACTTCTGAGTTTAATTTTCTTTTTAGCGTAGATCTGGCTTTTAATTGGTTGATCCAGACAAACCCACACGTCGATTTTTTTTTTCGAGCTTGTGTTTGCTCACTCTCTCTTTATTTTTCTGAAAAGTGGTAACATGTTGATTTTGAAATGTTCTTAAAAATCATTTCATCACGAGTTATTTACCATCGCCTGAAGAGGTACAGGATAGTGTCGAAACACGAAAGCTATTCTGTAGCGATTTCAACATTTTCTCTCATAATGAAATAATTATATATATATATATATATATATATATATATATATATATGTTATAAGCGCTCTGAAAGCAATGGAAATTTTGTCGCAGATTAATTCCACAACGCAGAGAATAAATCACTGTAAGTTGAGACTCGAATATCGGGGGCAGAAAGAAATGCCGAAAACTCGATTCGCAGGTACTATCCCACAAATCCCAATGAATGTAACCAGTCAGAAAAATAACTCACTCGCCGACGAACACGCTAGCCAAAATACATCAGTTTTCCTCCTTGATTCGAGAACACCAACTACTTTTATCGGCCGAGCAGTTTTTTCCATTTGTCGACAACTGGGAGAGGACGCCCAATTTTTGCATATCAAAATTATTTTCATAGCGACTCCCGCAACGGACTTGTTTTTAATCTAAATATTCTGTCTTCGGCATGGCA